GAACACAGCGGCGGCCGCGCGGCGGGTCCAGGCCGACCAGCCGCTGCGGGGAGGCCGGACCCGGCAGCCAGTCCAGCAGCTCAGTCACTGCCCCTCCGCCGCTGCCGCCGGGCGCCAGGCGCTGTCGCAGAAGACGCAGCTGCTCCGCTGCTGAGGCTGCCGCCGCCGCCTCCGCTGCAAACACAGCCGTCTTTCAGAGCCTGTGTTTCTTGCCCGGCGGCCGGCGGTACTCGACATCTGCTGCTGATGGTTCCAAGGCCTGCTCCGGGCCACTTAGGCGAGTATGTGTTCGGAGGAGGCAGGCGGCGCAAATCGTTCCAAACGCACAGGGTTTCTCTTGCGTAGTTGCATGCGGGAATATCGTGCTTGCAGCAGTGTATAAATGGCTTTCCCCTTTTTAGATATGTAGATGAATAAGTTCAAGGATTCTTTCCAATGTAAGAACTTTGAAAATCATAGCAACATAACTGGTTCAACAATCATCCCCAACAAAGAGAAATACAAAACAAGGGCATAATTGAATCAGGGATAAGGGGGAATAACAACATTTCTACTCACGACACACCACCACCCCGCGTCCTGGCGTCTCCCGCCGCTCGGTCGCACCACTCACCTCCCATGGTTGGCAAACTGGTCGGCTGTTGCGCCGGCGCCAGCGGCGGCGGCGCGCCGAACAGGTCCATGCTGGGCTGGGCGGCCGCCGGCGGGCCCAGACTCAGACCCATCAGCAGACTGGAGTTGTCCTGGGCGGCCGGCGGCGGTGCGGCGGCGGCGGCGGCCGGGGCGGGTGCGGCAGGTGCAGAGAGCGGGGCTACCGAGACACAGACGCTACTGAGGCCGGTGCCGGGTGGGCGTGAGCCGGGGGCGTGTGGGGAGGGGCGAGCGTCGCAAACAGCTGGAGACGATGTGCCAAATAATGGACATCTTATACATATATAAGTTTACATACTAAGACAAACATGATGTAAAATATATCTGAAACATCTCCAGCTTGCGTGTAACGACGCTCGCAAACACAAAACGGTAAGGCGATGCAGGCAGTCTGTTAAACAGCCGAATGCGTGAAGTTAAGCGTTACGGTGTGAAGATTACATTGGCATTGTGGGCAGTGAGCGGTCAACCACATTATCAAGTCTAATGCACGGTGGGGCAGTAACGATTGTAGGTTGAAAATGCGCCATACAATATACAGGAGCGTCAGAATGGGAAATGCAGAGGAGTAAAACACAACTTCGCAAAGAGAGAGAAAGAAACTACGATCTTTGGAGATGAAAATGTAGTTACATAACTTCACAAGGTAAAATAAACCAATAAGTATATCTACGCAAACAAAAAACAAGCAACTACCCATACTACATGAAATAAAATGTTAATCGACACAGCACCTAAAACACAGAACAAAACGAGCACTGTGAAGCAACCGCTACTGATCTACCTCCCCGGGTTTAGCTGTCCCTGGTAACTCACGCGTCATGCCTCCGAGCAGGTCGTGGCCGCCGCCTCCTCCGGGCGGGGTGAGAGCGGTGGGCGCCGTGCCCGGTGGTCGCCCCAGCGGCGGCGGCACGGGCGCCGGCGCGCTGCCGCCCCCGCCGCCGCCGCCGCCGAACGCGCTGGCAAAGTCGGCGAACCCGTCCGTGCCCGAACTGAGCAGTCGAATGAGGGAAGAGTTAGTGGCATGTCGGGTAGACGTGACGGAGTTGGGGGCCGCTGATACGTTCCTACGTTGGAATGACAGCTAAGAAAGCGTTAAAATATAAGGCAGCAATGTTTATAAGAAAGTTTCTAGTAACATAGACAAAATGTTTACGTGATTTCGTGCATGTTTAAAATTAAAATGAGCCAGAACCAGCAAATATAGAAGTGAAGGGTCTCGCTGTATCTACATACTCACGGAACGGAGACATGAGCATCGAACAAACGAACATATCAACCACGCCATAATATCCGCTCGCTTTCTCAACACCTCGACCACCGCCATCAGATGACACTGACCGCAGTTCCCCTTCCCCTCCTCCGTCCAACCAATGGACGGTCCCCAGTCCCCAATAATCCCTCCCACCGCCCTCACCCGGCGGCAGGTGGCGGAGCGGCGGCGAACTGCGAGAAGTCTGAGCCGGTGGCGGCGGCCGGCGGGTCACCGGCGCGGGGATTGAAGTCGTCGTCGCCTCCGAATAGGTCATCCACCAGCTCGGGTTTCTTGGTAGAGTCGGCCTGGGGGGAGGAGAGAGCGTGCCTATAGTGGTTTGTTTAAAAAAACGCATTTAAAAGCACTGCTGATGATAATGTCCTGATCAAACAATGTCCGACATTATCTAAGAGTATCCGCTGTATCTACACACGGGGTATTCTCACATCGATAAAAGCCACGCCACCATTGTGTGTACATAACTACGATACGATATCACTTCGCTGCCAGGGCGGGGCCGGCATGGACACTGCTCTACCGACAACCGACGGGACAGGGATGTGACGGATTGCAGAGGGGACCAGGAATATTTGGAACGAGTTTCGGATAACAATATAAAAAGTAATATTTTTTTAACTAAATACGGCAAAAGGCAACAGTCGCCTCATTAGGAACTAGCTTCAGCGGTCTTGAAAATGCTAAGGCGACGGTATGCACTGCAGTGTGCAGTCCCTACTTATACTGTTGCTACGCCGTAGTCTGCAGTGCCGTCCCTACCTTGACTGCGGCTGAGGCGGCGGCGGCCGGCCGGCCCGTGGAGAGCGGTTTGTCGCGCCGCGATTTGGAAGCCGCCGGCGACGAGTCGGTGAACTGGCGAGCGCGCACCTCCGAGTCCGAGTCATCCGGCTCTCCCAGACTGAGGGTGGGGAGTCGGAGGCATAAGTGAAGGCCCTAGATACTTTTCAGGAATCCAAACTCACAGTCGGCAGCGGTCCTTATGCGTATCATCGTATGCACAGTGAACTTAATTGAAAACAACAATGTTATGAGATTGAACACAAGCCTTTGTAACGGAGTGTCGAGCGTTTTGAACGCCAGACGCAGAAACGCAATGACGACCTACACTATTTACTCAACAACAAAACATCCATAAATTCCCCTAAGGACTACATTATGATCATATTACCACCCATATCACGGTACAGGGCCTCCAGTTTTGGAGATGGTTCAAGACCACGGAGCATAAATACAACGTCATCCGCGCCTGACTTGGCACAACTACTCCGCCATAATCCGACCGTAGACGCGCGGTCACGTCTACGGTCGTCTCCTGACCTGTTGCTGTCGGCCTCCCTCTGGTCCGAGTAGGGCTTGCTGTCGCCGTTGCTGTCCCACTCTGAGCGGCCCTTGCGCCAGTTGGGCTGGTCCCAGTCATAGGAGGAGCCTTTGCCAAAGTCTGCCGCGCAAACGGGAGGGGTGGACAGTCATAGGGAGAGTCAGATGAGATAAAGGGCGCACATGAGGTCACATCAAGCGCTGTAGCGCCAGAAATAAGACGGCAAGATGACAAAGATTCTGCGACGATTGCATCGTCTGAAAAGGCCACGCGCTAGAAATTATCTTATGCTTTGGAATTAGGATTATGACGTCCTGCGTCAATCGTGACAAGTGATTGGCGTTCATCACAAGCCGCAACGTTGACGAGAACAAAGCATGCCACTCATAGACAGAAACTAACGCTCGTGTTTAGACAATGCCAGACAGAATAGAAGGTACCGATATAAAATGAGATATCCGCTATGTCCCACCCAAGCATGCCCTGCGAGTGCGCACCAAACGGCACGGCACAATAGCAAAGAAGTATCCGACGAAGTATGCACGAACGACAGAACAGTACCATGCACAATAAGAGACGGATGATCTGTGTCACATCCCCACTTGTGTGTGCCTGGACGCGATGGACGCTTGTGTGCGCCCCAGCGGCCCCGCCCGAGCGGGTTCCGCAGTCCAGGAACACATAAGTAAGGATGTGACAATCTGTTTAATCCCGCATGCCAAGCTACATGATTTTGGTTTTTCACAAGTCTAGACCGATAAAGATGCACTAAATTATAATTTAAAAGGCGTCTTTGTACGTTTCAAGACGTACTTTTAACAGCAATTTTGATAAGTGGGAGAAAATCCTTAATAAAAACGTCTCACACGCGCTATAGTGTACGAATGTCGAAATAAATATTGCCATAAATATGTTAAACAATTATAATGGTTCAAGACAGCTGAGAGCAGTATTATAATTTATATCTTATAAACTCAAAAATGATTCGCCGCAAGTCAACCGAAAGCATACCATTCTGCAGTCCTTGCATAGTAATTCATAAAATTGGGTCAATCAGCTCTAAAGATACAATACCACTTTTATCATTCCGGCCAGTTTCTAACATGCGCAAAAACACAAGCCACAAACCAAAACGGAAGAGGAGCTAGAAAACTGCCAGACACTGCCAAAAATACATCCCAGATACCTGTTAGGGTTCAGTGCCCTCTTTCACCGACTATCTTCGATCCCCTGGAGCGGCCCTCCACCTGGCTCGTGCCACCTTCACGGTAACTCGGCAGACGGCAGTCTTGGCGTGGGGTTAGAGATGCCAATCACCGCAGAACGCACGCGGGCCCACACCACGCTCACACACTCACACAGGTAGCGGCAGGCAGACAGTGATACGTACATTCAGAACGGAATCCGGTCGACTCACTGCTCAGACCAATGTACTTGTCCTTGTTCTTTTTGGATTTTTTGCGCTCCTCGCGCAGCCGGTCGTCGTCCTGGACAAAGTCGATAAGGTCTCGCACCTTGTGCCTGCGGAAAGGGCACGGGGTGAGCGAAAACATAGCAGCTGACGCATTCAGATGTGTTGCGGGCATGGTAGACTGTTCTGAACACTTGTGTCAGTGCATAAACATGCCAACGAGCGCAAAATCGTATAGCTAACCATTGGCGACAAAAAAGATATTCAGGGTAAATCGGCGCGCGGTCAGCAGCAGCCCGACATTGACTCAGGCACACTGAACAGGTACTTTGCTGACGTGGGTGTGACCACAGCAGCCTCTGTGGCTGCCGGACTGCCGGCCGACGGTGGGGGCGCTCTGCCTGTGCGTTTGCCTAGGGTGGGGACGGGCGCGTTCAAGGTGGAGCCGGTAACACCGGACGAGCTGCGACAGACCGTGCTAGGTATGAACGGCAGCCGCGCCTGTGGACCGGACGGGATACCGATGCATTTCATCAAGAAATGTTTTGACGCAATCGCTCATGTCATCCTGTGTATTGTCAACACATGTCCTGTGACTGCTACTGTGCCCGATTCTTGGAAGCTGGCGACTATCCAACCGATATATAAGGGATCCGGCTCGACCCGCGACCCGTCTTCATTCAGGCCTATCTCACTTATCCCTTGCCTTGCAAAAATCACCGAACGAATTGTTCACAAACAACTTTCTGGCTACCTGGATTCAAACTTTCTTTTCGCCGACACACAGCACGGGTTCCGTCGATTTCATTCCACCGAAACGGCTCTTCTGGCCGTGACGGACGCTGTGATGGAGGCCATGGACCAAGGAAAAATATCTCTTTTGGTGCTCCTAGATCTAAGCAAATGCTTTGATGTGGTCAATCATGAAAAATTACTTCAAAAGCTTGCACTGTACGGAGTTGAAACGGCGTGGTTTCGAGACTATCTCGCAAATCACCAGCAGCACGTGCGTCTCGGTCCTCAAAACGTCTCAGGTCCACTCCCCAACCCCATTGGGGTCTATCAGGGGACATCTTTGGGACCACTGATGTTCAACGTGGTCTCGAACGATCTCAGCCTTTACGTAGATGGTGTCAAAATTATTCAATACGCTGATGACACTCAGCTGTTGATTTCTGGCAAGAAATCGGACCTACCCAGACTTATCCAAGAGATGGAATCTGCACTGCAGACACTCCACCAATGGTTTAGTCAAAATTACATGAAACTCAACATGGCCAAAACTCAACTTCTCGTTCTCGGCAGCACCAAAATTTTGAAAAACATGGAAAAAGTAACCCTTCGGTTAAAGGACTTCACCATCCATGAATCGGACACAGTGAGGAACTTAGGACTCGTGATGGACCGCCATCTGAATTATGATGCCCATGTGAGCAGCGTCTGCCGGAAATGTACTGGACAGTTGATAGGCCTCTGTCACGTACGTCACTCTGTACCGCGAAGTGTCCTGCCGACCCTGGTCAGCAGCCTTGTCATCTCCATCATTCGATACTGTCTGTTGATTTACGGTAGCTGTACCAAACGTAACCTGACACGACTTCAGCGAGTCATCAACTTCGGCGCGCGCGTGATATCTGGCCGGAGGAGAAGGGATCACATCAGCGACGTCATACGAGACCTTAAATGGCTCTCAGCGTCACAGCTGCACACCTACCACGCGCTATGCCTGATGAGACGTTTACTGGCCAACTCGGAGCCGCATTCACTGGCGCAGAAGTTGGTACGGAGGCACAACATCCGGCAAACCCAAACACGGCAGGACGACCATCTGGATCTACCAGTAATCAAGACGGAATACGGCAGACGCCGTTTCTTCTACAGAACTGCCGATGTTTTCAATCGTCTTCCCTCTAGAATCTCAGTCAGACGCATCGGTGCATTCAAAAGGCGTCTCCGCGCCTATCTGGCCGACGCAATGCCGTAACAATGTCCAGTGCTGACACATGTGGCGCAACGCATGCGTATGTCTGTCTTTGTAATGCGCGTGTTACTTATCATCCCTCTATGTAATATTTCGCTTATCACCTTTTATATGACTCTAGGCATGAAAAACCGGCATGATACTGGATGACCTTACGATGAATACAGAATACAGAATACAGAAAGATAAGAACCCGTCAATAGTGTGAATGAATCAGGAACATTGAAAAGGAAAACTAAATACAGCACGACATATTATCATCTCAATCACACATCGTTGGCTACATTATGTTCATCTCCTACAGCAATATTTACTATATCGTGCGCTATGCGTTACCCTTGGTAGCAGTGTTCCAAAATTTGTTGTTTTGGGTGGGAAACGACATCCAAATGAATATCATTTCACACTCTCACCTCCAATTTTGAAGAGCAATTTTCCACTCCCAATATTACGAAGAAAAAGCATTAGCGTGGATAATCGTTGTACATCTCATATTTTATCACGCATGGATAAAAATTAATGCTATCGATCTTTTCCCATCTTTCTGGGCCTCACCTTGGCCAGCAATTTTCCACTCTTATCCCCATTTTTGGAAAGCAATTTCCCCTCTGACACCCAAGCCAAAATGCAATTTTGGGACACTGCTTGGTACACCCAATAAAGCTCACGTAGCAGTCCGTGGCGACCTTCCAGCGCCCCCTAAGGCTAACCGCGGCACCATCGCTAGTCGCTACCCAAGCTCACCTGATGTTGATTCCCTGGTCCTTGCCGAACTCGTCCACAAACGTGTAGTTTTCCAGACTACGCAGGTCGTAGATGTGTTCGCGCGCAGAGGTGACCACACGCTCTGAGCCGTTCCGAATCAGGTAGTGTAGCAGCAGCAGCGACTGTGAGAGGTGAGTAGGGCGTCAGACAAAAGTCCGTGATAAGTGTGATCATGGCAGTGAACGAGTACGCAATGCATGTATGCGTGTACTGTGTACTGTACAGTGTGTCATGTATGTAGATCTATGAAAACAATTATTTATCTGAACACTTTCTAGAACAGCGGCATCCATGAGCAGCAACCCCGCAATGATGTGAAAAAAATAACTCAAACAATTAGTGTTCAGCCCATTCTTTGACAACCCTAGCGTTTTGCAAACAAAGCGGACACGACATAATAACAAACATAACACAAACGTGTTTACAGAGGGCCGGCCGTCAGTAGCCGCACATAACGCGGGCCGTGTCGTCACCGGCGAGCGGCACCTGACTGCCATGGGCCGCAGTGAGTCGGCGAAAGTGGCCGCACGGGCCCGGCCGGCGCGTGACTCACGGCCGGGCGCCGGTTTCCTGGCCGACCACAATGCGCCGCCGATAACACTCCCAATCCGGCCGGATTGATTTCAGTTGTGATATATTGTCGCACAAACTAGTGCGGGAGACTGGTATGTGGGTCCGATAGCTATCAGATGATACAGGAAATGACGTAGAAACGGGTGGTTAGGTCAATATCATAAAGTGACAGATATGGGCGTCATAGTCTAACGTAGACAGAAGTGACACCATCTTTGAGTAATCTAACTTACAAACCGGATATTTCCACGTGACTGCAAAATACTCATACCTTTATTCCAGACTAGACAACATATCGATCATCTAACACATCATGACCTATCACCCGTCCCCTCAGGCCCAGGCGGGGTCCTGCCGCGGCCGCAGCCCTACCTTTCCCCTCCCTTTATTCCCACCCCGTCCCCGCCGTTCCTCCGACCCTGACCTTGTATGTGCGGCGCCAGTTAGAGCGGTTGTCCTGCAGCATGCGTTTCCAGAGCATGCCCATAGCCTCTGGGAACTGTTCGTAGGTGAAGGTGTACTGTGCGACCTCTTGCATCTGCGGGCCTGGATGAGCCGAGACAGAGAGTCGGACAGTCAGAGACAGTCGTAAAAAAACACGGGTGGTATAAATTATGGCCAAATAACTACAGCTGGTTATCAATAGAAAGACACCCGGTGGCTCCACGCGACGCACTCCAATTACATATTTGGTAATTGGTCGGAGGAGATTAAGCCCACCTGTCCGGCCCATACGTTACCAAAAACGATCTGGACATTATAATAGCCGCCTAACAGCACGGGTAGGAGTGCTTCAGCTACCGTAATCAGCATCGGCCACAGGCAGACAATAATCCGCTCCGTGCGCCCAATCCGCCGAGCTCACTGATCGCTCTGTCATAACTCATAACAGAGCACCACAGGAACTGAGCAGTGCATCCGTTCCGTGGACGGGATCACGCAAACGCACACAGGTATAATGTCCTATACAGCACGGACACTGAACTGTTCATACACCCGCCCCGATGATGGATATATCGGAAAAATACAGGGTTTATAAAGAACCACTGCCAAAAATAACGATGAAAATTCTCAAAATAGCAACTGAATAGTAACCATTAAATGGAACGTGAATTACTAAGTCTGTTAATCATTGATCAGTCCCATCACACAGCCAGTTCCAATTCAGTTCATTTGACCCACAGCACCGCGATTGCGTGCAGCCGCTAAACATTCCAACAGTCACCGAGCCCCTCCCCTCCCCTCGACCATCGGTCGAGCCTCACCGGTGGGTCCCCAGGCCTCGTCGTTGGTCGCCTCGCGCACTTTGGACTCCACCTCCGTGTAGTTCATCACCATGTTGGTGCTGAAAACGGACGGGGACGGACGTTAATATGTTGTCGGTGTGTTGGTGCTGAAAACGGGCGGGGACGGATGTCAGTGTCAGCAGACGGGACGGAGTGAGACGGGCACCGCCCCGGCGGAGTGCCGGCGGCAGCACTCGGGTATATTGCGGTCCCTCGGCGGCACGGCTAATGCCCGCCCGGATCAGCCGAGACGGAGCGGTGTAACAATACAAACATTCCCGGGCGGCTCACCCGCAGGCATTTGGGAGACGGGGAAAAGGTCAACAATGTCATTATCTCAATGTGCTGTGGCAGGTCTTTCTAGAGAACTTCCGTAACGATGCTTAAGATGGGTCTGATAAGAGCTGGCTTTGATATTCAAATAAGCGTAAAACACGTTGGCGGGCGACTGAAACCTAGCCTGCTTGGGATGATGCACAGCACCAAACTATTATCGGGAGTATATCAACTATCAAGTGCATCCGTCCGTACAATGTGCTGCGCCACGCGGCAAAAAATTGCATAGTGCATACTCAACACCGCGTAATACTGAAGGAATGATAAACAAGGACCCGAAGTGTGTTTACGACCAACGTGGATATAAACGAAGCGCACTGGTCGTAGTCCCGCCGGCTGGCTGACTGAAATGGCACCTCATGGAGTAAATACCAGCAGTGTCAAAGTCCCGACATGGCTTTTAATTTTACTTCATAATCACATCAGTTTATAACGCTGGAAAACCGGTAGCGACCTAGAGAAGCCTTATGCCGAATCCTTCGTCTTGTTGGTGGCGTCTGGGCGCCCCCAGCGCGTCACGAATCGATCCACCGCCGAATGAAGCAGTACGTCTGCTCTGCAGACAGGAGTCCTATCGGGTGAGCTGGCAAACATATCCACGACGTGCCGCAACAGTCGCTCAGCAAGAGAAAACCAGGGCTATCCAGACAACAGTCTTCCACACCTGACCAACAGGCGGTCGCGACGACCTCGACATCATTGGGTATTCGCATGGTGACAACCTAACGCCCAGCATCGCTACCAAGGCCCTCCACATCATGCAGAAGAGGCGGAGCGAAAAAGTTACGTTGAGGCCCTCAGTGTAATAATGTTCAACAGGACGTCGTGCCACGTATTCAGCATAACTCAGATAACAACACGTGACTGCATGCAACACCTTTCACGGCGCTCACGTGACCGCACCGTCGGCCGGTGGCCCGCCGGACGCTCGTCCCTGACCCGGTGACCTACACGGTGGAGAGCGGGCTCGCCAGTGTCGGTCCCGTCTGTCGGCCGATCTGAATGGTATGGCGCCGTCACTTTGAGAGGGCTGAGTTGGTGACGAGTGCAAAAAAAAGGTGCGAAACAGCGAGAGAACGCGACGAAAAGCCACATGCCGCAAAAAAGTACACGCTCAACGTAGCGAATATCAACGGTAGCGAACTTTTATCAAACCAGGTATTTGACTTTGATCAGCTGATGCATAACCGATGAAGCTATGCACCAGCTAATCGCATCCAACGAATGCACGCTGACGACGGAGGGGAATCAGATTCACGGCGCCTGAGAAGTGAACTAGAGATCGGATTACCATCCAACACCGAAATCTGTTAGTCAATATGGAGGGAATCACTTGGAAATTTGGTTCGGCGAATCCATCTCTATCACTGACTCCTCCCTGGCACAAGACAGTACTGCTGAGGACTTGATACGACATGGGTACTGGGTCGATAGCAACTACCGGCAATGCAGCTGGGACTGGGTAATTCCCAGCGTGGACGGGCTCCTGCCAGACGTGACTGGAAATTCCGCAATCAGCGAGCGGCCGCAGCCCCGAGCGGCGGACCCAATGGGCGAGACGGCGGCGATGCAGGATACATACCTTCAGGCAGCACAAAACCCAGTGCCAATGTTAGCGTAACGACATTCTTACGCGGTGGTAGCAATGAATTACGCAAATATTCGCAATAAATGAATCAATAAATTATAATAATCCGGCGTCCGAGGAGAATGTCCATTGGTACTACAAGAGCGGGACCCTTGGAAGTTGGAATAAAGACCTAGCAAGGTTGAAATGAGCAGATAGGCGATCCCCCCAATGATAACACTCAGTAAGGAAAGGTAGCGAGCTCAAATGCTCTCTTTTTTTTAACGAAACAACTGTGTTGTGACAGAGTGAAAACTGAAAAGGACCCTCTTTAGCGATGAGAATCCGTTTCGACATTTCAAGTATACAAACTGCTGGGATGCTTGATGAGCCAAAGAGTGTTGAGAACCTGGCCTTCGGAAGCCCGGAGGACTTACCCCGCGTTCGATGTCTCCCGGACGGCAAAGATTCTATGCCGTCCGGGCCCGAAATGGCGTTCGATGTCGCACGGACGGCAAAGATTCTACGTGACGTCACGTAGAATCTTCGTCGTCCGCGCAGAATCTTTTGAGCGTACTACGGTGGGCAGAGAGGCAATGATGGCGCGTATTTCAAAAGCAGCGCAGCAGCTGTTTGCAGAAGTTGTTGACATTTGTGCGCGGTCTCTATGGAAACGTAAACTTGGGCCTTTTTCGAAACCGACGCACATTGTATAAGTGGCGCACAAAATGGCCGATCTCGTCGTCCGCCTGTGTGCTTCATCGAACGCAAAATAGAATATTCTGCGTAGAATGTTCTTCGTCCGAGGAGACATCGAACGCGGCCTTAGGCGTGGGTTTTCCGCCCAAAACTGATGGGGGAGGGGGGGGGGCACCGTGCCCAATCACAGTCTGAGCCAGCTGCTAGTGATGCCACTGAATGTATCCGTCAATGTCGATAGTCACTTATGTACTATCCTGGAGAAGTCTGCATCCGCCTTTGACTGGATGGATACAACTGGCACTGTCTCGAGTGGATAAGCATTTTTACGTGGGATTGGCTCATCTGTTAGACAAACCTCAGAAATGACATCAGAAGCATCTGCTTAACTTCTGGGGGAGGACATGTGGCCAGAACAGCCTGGAGAACTAAACTCGACGTTGCATCAATGTATGCTATAAACTGTCAAGAAATTTCCAATGCTGAATGGTTGGCTGAAAAAAGTAGGTATATTAGGAACAATTTTCGCCTATATTTTAAGCAGTGTAACTAAAATACTAAGCTACATACTCAATGGTCAGCTCATAAACAACAATAGACGACCTGCAGTCCATAAAAAAGTGATCCAGTGCAACTTTTACACACACACCAAACTCTTTGGCAGCACCCCTCCCCCCCCCCCATTATGTACCCAATGTTGATGCTAACAGTTGAAAGCAGAAAATGAGCGGCTGAATGGATTTATCAATTGATAAGGTTATGACTAGGTTAATGGATTTTACTGCTTGAAGGTGATCAACAGTTATCTTACAAAATGCTGTAATCATCAGTTAACATCAACAGTAGGTTCAAGTATCCAGGAGCTAGAAGTATACTTAATTATAAGCAAATTCTCACTATAAGTTTACAACAGCTAATTAGTTCCTTTAAGTGCAATTTTCAAGCAAGGGCAAGAAGCATTAACAAGGAACCAGAGTTCATGAGTGAGAGAAGGAAGAAATGTCTCTGAAGCTCAAAGCTTAGATAGATTATCCTCTTTCAACATGAATGAACAGCAAGCATTAACCAAACCAAGCTGTCTAGTGTCTATTGGCATTTGTAATTTAACTAATGTAACTTAATGCAAGTGGTGTTAATAACTACCAATAATTTAGTGTCATATGTAATAACTACCAATCATTTACTAATCATTAACTATTGAATATCGTAGAAGAATAACCTTATCTACTATACTATTTGTAGAATGAAACTCTGTATGTATGTGTTTCTGTCTGTTTGCACCGTGCAGAGGGGTGCTTTGACGCCGTGCGCAGGTCAAACGGTGCGTTGGATGGGGCTGAAATTTGCACACGGTGTTGATGACGTCACGCGCACGTGCAGTGGCGTGTTTCGAGTCCCGGGGGGTGGATGGTTCGCACGTGGCACGCGCTGGAAAAAGGCGCTTTTTCTCCAAATTTTGCTCGGCTCTCAAGCTTGCTTCAAGGCATCGGCAGCCGGGTTCAATCGCCTTTGACAATGAAATGCATGACGATCGGCGGCGGGTGCCTCTCATTTGCAGATTGGCCAAGTTATTTATTTTGATAAACAGAGGCCAATGGGCCAATGAAGGTGTTGATTTTCGGTAAATAAAGACAGTTTTCAATGCGCTTAACCGAATGCACCGCGTTTGCCGCAGTGCGCCACATTTGTCCACATGCGCTATTTTTGCCGCAAATCGCACAACTTTGTCAAACATGGTCCGATAAACGTGCAATTCGGTGGAAGGATGCATGGCAAAACGACAGGAATAAATGCACCACTTTTATCGCAGTGCGCCACATTTGTCATGACCCAGTGGTAGTGGTAGGTGTAGTGGTAGTGGTAGTGGTAGTGGTAGTGGTAGTAGTATTGGTAGGGGTAGTGGTAGGGGTAGTGGTAGGGGTAGTGGTAGGGGCATTAGTAGTGGTAGGGGTAGTAGTAGGGGAAGTAGTAGTGGTAGGGGTAGTAGTAGGGGTAGTGGTAGTAGTAGTGGTAGGGGTAGGGATAGGGGTAGTGGTAGGGGTAGTGGTAGGGGTAGTGGTAGGGGTAGTGGTAGGGGTAGTGGTAGGAGTAGTGGTAGGGGTAGCGGTAGGTGTAGTGGTAGGGGTAGTAGTAGGGGTAGTGGTAGTGGTAGTAGTAGGGGTAGTGGTAGGGGTAGGGGTAGTGGTAGGGGTAGTGTTGGGGGTAGTGGTAGGGGTAGTGGTAGTGGTAGTGGTAGTGGTAGGGGTAGTGGTAGGAGTAGTGGTATGGGTAGAATGAGTAGAAGTGTGGCACAGGCCGATCCAATGTGACGTGGTGACCTATACGACCTGGCCTGACCGAAGGTGACCTGGACTGACCCAGTGTGACCAGGGATGACCGACTTGACCTGACTTGACCCCGTATGACCCAAATTTTATCAAACTAAGCCATCAGAATATTCCTTTATATATCTGCTTCCAGACGGCTCATCGGTATGAATCAAACACCATTCGAAAGCAAACTGGCTGCTGCGTATTTTATGGCTACGCCGCGAAGCAAGTGGCGCAGCCGCTTGTCTACTATACTATTTGAGGAAGGCGTAGTTTCTGTCTATTACGAAGGTCGCGACATGGTGCTACGTAGCGCGGGTTACAGGTCACACCGTTGCACCTACCGCGCTGAAATTTGCGCAAGTTATAGAACAAGGATGGACAACGTGCCTTTGAGCGGTCTCGGCTCGATCGGATCGATAGCGAGCGCGTGGCGCGTGCCCAAAAAGTGCAAATTCGCGTCATAGACTTTACATGTATAAATCGGCTGGCAAAAACGGGCGAAAATGGCTAAATTTGCCCGACACGGGTCCGTTCCCCGTGCAATATCTCGGTAGCCGTGCGCCCGATCGGCACGGGGAAAACAGCATCGTGTAGAGAATCGAACGGGCAATCGAATAGTGTGCGGTGCAGGGGTGGCACGCGCCACGTGCAAGTGTGAGGGCAATTTCATTTCAAAAAGTGCCATTTTAGACGTATTTTGGATTTTATTTTATTTTCCCGTGACCATCAGACTGAGAGAGTTGAAACAACGTCAATTGCCAAGAGAAATGTACCGCCTCTCATGGAAAAATTGTGGACAGCTAATTGATCAAAAACAATGTGGAAAAATCGCTGAATTAAAATGGTATTTGTCCACAATGTGCCACTAAAAAGATACACGGGATTTGCTGCTTAACCTGATACGCTTGACAATTGAAAATGCTATCATTAGAAAGAGCATTCAATTCTCTCCAAGATCCAATCATCACGTTTGCATGACAAGCAACAGTATTCTTAAAAATATAAATGTTTTAAACCTCTGCAAAACGATTTTTAGCGAAAATTATCTACGCCTTTCATTTGTCTTAAAACTACGCACCTCAATTATAAAGCACATTTGACAGATTCTGAAGTGGAAAGCATGCTTATCAGACACGGGCACCTCGATGCGGTGGATATTTTTTCCACAAACCAAAACGTTTAGCCGTCAAAAAGCAATCGACCGAAATGGATAGATAACCCAACCGACACAAGAACAACCGAACACCCGCCGATCGAAAATATCCCTTTTCGCGTTGCGGAGCACGCGGGTCACCCTAGTGCTCACTATCTTTAAACAAACCAAAAAATTAGCCTAAAATCAATGAATATATTTCGGAAACGTTCCTTCTTCAGTTCAAAAAGTTAACTATACAAGCCAAAGAAATGTACCACCAAAAAATACCAATACCAAATGTACCAATATGTACCAAATGTACCAAAAAATGTACATTTTTTTTGGTTTGTTTAAAGATAGTGAGCATAAGGTTATTCTTCTACGATATTCAATAATGCTGCTCATTTTAGTGCTGCTCATTTTAGTACTTCGACATCTTATTACATTAACTATTGAATATTAATTCCTAAGAATGCACCATCTATGCACAGAAACTAACGACAGAACAAACAAGGTATCTGCAAATATACCTTGTTATTGGGGGACACTGATGTATAAAATAAGACTTCAACATATTCAAACTGTTCAGCAAAGTGTGAGAGGTGCCAGAAGCATCAAATGATAAATATAAAATATGAACCAGATCAAATCAAGCAGTCCAGTTGTAAAAAGTACTATACCACTACTAGTAAAACTGAGAAGTTAAGTTTCAATCTAGAACAAATATAAGAAAAGTGACTAGTAAGCAGCTTCCATGGTAAATCTGGAAGCTCCTTTTGCTGACATGAGGATGGGGATTAGGAAAACCAGCTTATGTTACATTTGTCACCAGGCTTTGCAATATTTTTCACCTTACTGATCCTTTTAAACAATGCTTAACACATTCCAGCCTTAACCAGCAAATAATATGCTTCACAACACTTCTGAATTATAAAACAATGTAACAGCACAACCAACAACCAAAAGTTATAAAAGCAAACAACTGGTGACAGGTCAGTACCTACTTATCTATATCCAATTAAATGTTATATCCTAAATTCATACCAGTTCACATCAGTTACACATAAATCTTAACAATATTTAGGCAAGCATATCTCACTGGCAACCCACAGCCCTGTTTCAGTGCATGACACTACCATGTACCTTCTCAGTTTCTAAGGAAATGAAAAAGCAAAGATGGCTAATTCTGCTTAGGTAGGTATGTTTCCATGGAAGCTGAGTCAGTTGGGGAAACTACGAGGCGAACGTCAAAAAATGGATTGGTCAATAAATGGACTTTTGATGACCATATATGGGCATAAATGCAGCCCCCGCTACTAAGGGTGAAAAACGGTATAACAAGCCGGTACTTGCGGTATTGCGTCCACTTATTGGAGAGAAAAGGCTTCCATTTTTCACTAGGAATTGGTGTGATTTGATGAAATTCGGCGAATTGACTCGAAAATGGCGATAGGAAAACGGCTTTTCTGCAGGTTCTGGGCGTCGCAATCAGCTGGCCATTCAATAAATGGATTGGTTTTATGAAAGAAAATTGTTTTAAGATTTAATTTAATTACAATGAACAAAAATATTTAGTTCTAAAATAATAACTTAACTATAATTAGAAAAACCATAAACAAAATAATAAAAATAATGACATTTTTAAACCACGGTACTGCTTACATTTTTTGGCGCGTCTGTTTCAATCCGCCATATTTGCCAATCACGGTTTGACCTTGCGTTGTAACTCTGCGATTTAGAGCCGCCAGTTAATTATGCACCGGGTGAGTGTAGGCCTTGTGTGGTTAAAAAACATTCTTATGCCTTATTTTTTCATTTGAATGCTAAAATTCATTGAAAAGATGAAGTTGTCTGATTTTATGACCATATATGGTCATCGCCCCGCCCACTCCAGCCGCTGATTGGCTAATCCAATTTTTGTTTGGCTCCTCGTAGTTTCCCCAACTGGAGTGCCAATGTCTGGCAGCATCTGGAGCAGCATGACATGAAACAGGGCCAGTAGAGCCAAGGTCTCTGTTCAAGACCTAGTCCTGAACATGACAGCACATTGCATATGGATATTGATATGCAACTGAAATTGACGACTGGCCGGCCTTCCAGGCGTTGCAGCTCTAAATGGTGCGAGATCATGCACCAAGTGACACGACAATGCATGCATTTCATATAAAAAATCATACTTACACTTTATCTGCAATTTCACGAACTTTCCACATGATCGCAGATCAATAGAATCTTCTCCAACTGTAAAATTGTGGGTTCAGATTTGGAATGGCCAATGTCTGACCATGAACACGCCGGCTGTTTTGGCTCACCAAAGGCAATCAACGTGATTCATTGAATTAAGCAAAATTTGACTATTTTCAATTTGCAGGAATATAGCTATCAGAGATCATATGGAAAATGAAAAATTAGATAAACCTCACAAATCACGGTATATATCAGAGAAAGGAATATTACGAAAGCGCTAATGCATCTTCTGTGTGGGTGCTTCCAACACCACAGGGAAGAGTTTCTGGTAAACTGACATCATCACATAATTTTTTAGGCAAATTACTGAAATTACTGTCATGTTTTGTTACTTTTTTATCCAAATTAAAAACGTCTTACAAATCTGCGCCAGAGTCATGCAAACAAGATAATTCATTCGTTGAGAAACATTATTAAAAATGGTAATTTTGCTATGACGTAATATTTGTGATAGAATTTTCCGTGAATAAATAGAGCCAACCTTGACTTGGTGGTGGCCTTTGAAGTAAAAGTGGATCTAGGAAGGGAATTCTCTGTTCTCTGCTGCTGTTCTCTGCTGTTCTGATAGCAGTCAAAGTGCAAACAAGTGGTTGAAAACTCGTTTTGTATTTTTTTTATGATTATTTGTAGGTTTTTGAATGATTTTTTCCTTTTTCGGCAGTGGTTGGCGAATGTCATTGAGTAAAGTTTTCAACAAACCGGGGGAAAACTTCATTTGGTAGCAAATGGTTTTGCGAAATAAACGCGTCTGCTACGTTTTGCTGACGCACAAAAAAAATGAATCATGAATGATGTTTATTGGCGCCTTCAACCCCGTTGCTTCAACCTGTAAGAATCTTGGCTTCAACCTGCCTGTTGTTAATCAACCTAAGGTTCATTTTCTATTTGTCCTCATTAGCCCATATAGTCCTTACTCCTCACAGCCCTCATGGCTCATAGGGTATCTGGTGTCATCATAACTTGAAACTTGAATTGTCTGGAGGGCTGTTCACGGGCCATTGATGTGTGTGGTGTGGCCGCACACAAGATATAAGCTATTACCCTAATAATGGTAAGCTCTGTCTGCTGCCTCCATACGCCATCCTTCAGCCGGTGGACGGATACAGCACACAGACTGCCATGGATCTAGCCCATAGGGATTGTTAATCTACACAGCCTGGGATATCTTACCAACTACCATCCCCTATACCCATGTCTGCTGCACATACTGCACACACCACACCCATTAATTTGCAGCGCCATTGAACAGCCCTCATGGTGGTGCAATTCTATAGAGCCTTGGTGCAACCCTTGGCATCAATCTAGCCTAGAAGTGTTTGTGTTGTTCTCTATATCATATATGTATTTTAATAGTTTCTGAAAGTTGAGGAAAATGAAAAAATCAACAGACACCAGCACCTCACCTACTGACCTAGTTATTCTGAAACATAACCTGAATGCCCTTCATCTATATTTGCATTTAAAACATCAAATGTAATACCTATTTTTATTTACTCAGTGAAAATGAATATAAATGCCTCTCTCACTATCTCCCACTCTCTTACACTGTTCTCTCTCCTCTTTTTCACTCTATCCTCTAACAATCTTTCATTGCCCTCTTCCCTTGTATTCCCATCTCTATCTCATTCTCTTTTCTTTATCATTCACCACTCTTGTGACAGCTTCACTATTCTGATTCTCTCTCTCTCTCTCTCTCTCTCTCTCTCTCTCTCTCTCTCTCTCTCTCTCTCTCTCTCTCTCTCTCTCTCTCTCTCTCTCTCTCTCTCTCTCTCTCTCTCTCTCTCTCTCTCTCTCTCTCCCTCTCCCTCTCCCTCTCCCTCTCCCTCTCCCTCTCCCTCTCCCTCTCCCTCTCCCTCTCCCTCTCCCTCTCCCTCTCCCTCTCCCTCTCCCTCTCCCTCTCCCTCTCCCTCTCTCTCCTCTCTCTCCCTCTCCCTCTCCCTCTCCCTCTCCCTCTCCCTCTCCCTTTCCCTCTCCCTTTCCCTTTCTCTCTCTCTCTCCCTCCTCTCTCTCTCTTTCTCTCTCTCCCATGGTTTCTTTCCCTTGTGTCCCTCTCTTGTCTCTCTCCTCTCTAACCCTCTTCTCTCCATGTTTCCCTTTGCTCTTTCTCTATCTTTGCTCTCCTCTCTCCCCTCTGAAGATGACTAAGTTCTCTGTTGAGTATGATTTTTGATGCACCTATGTTTTACCAGGCTGCACAGCTCATGTGAAGTAGGTATTTAAGTAACTTTCTCAGGACCATCACTAAGTAGCAATGGTTGTGACCATTGGCTTTGAGGGTTCAGCAAACAAGATTGGAATTGGAATTATTAGAGATGGTGAAGTGCTGTCCAACCCACGCCGCACCTACATCACACCTCCTGGTGAAGGTAGGTATGTTTCTGGTCATTAGAAATGTGTATATTTGACTCATTTGTCATCACTGCTTGTGTGTTACTTAACCATTCTGGCTTGTATTGAATATTTTGTAGAACACATGACATGTTTGAATACTTGATAAGACAAAGGTGCAGTGGATAAGTAATCTTTATTAGATGGTTGCTTGATGGGCTTTGTGACTTGATTGTTGACATTGACTGATGATCTGTGTCAGGGTTTCAGCCAAGTGCCACTGCCAGGCACCACCAGGCCCATGTACTTGATGTTCTGCAGGAGGCTTTGGACATAGCCAAGGTATCTCTCAGTTAGATATATTTCTGCCTAATTAAAATCAGTGTCTCGTCTGTGGCATTATGCATGGCTTGTTTGAATCTGTTCAGGTGATAACATACACCTGCTAACTTTTCACCATACAGCTCTTCCTCTAGCCAGCATCACGTCCCTCTGATCAGGCCACCCCCTCACTCCCGCTCCCTCCACAGATCACCCCTGACCAGATAGACGCCGTGTGCTACACCAAAGGTCCCGGCATGGGCGCGCCACTGGTGTCAGTGGCAGTGGTGGCGCGCACAGTGGCGCAGCTCTGGCAGAAACCCATCATCGGCGTCAACCACTGTATCGGCCACATCGAGATGGCACGGCTCATCACCGGCGCAGACGACCCGACCGTGCTGTACGTCAGCGGCGGTAACACCCAGGTGCGGATGGTGCCGCCGGGACGGGCTCTGGATCCTCGTTTGCGGGTCTCGGCAGTGTGCAACGGAGGGTGGGTATGAGTGCGATGGAGATTAAATGAGGCATAGAATAAAGCATGGTTTTGCGTCTTCGGCGGCTGATTTGGGCAAACCGTGATGCTTTTGAGGTAGGTAGGCGAACCATTTCCTTTTCATGAAATATATCGAAACAAATTGCAACAAATGTTTCTGCTTGAAATATGTCAATGTGAAGGTCTATCCTGATTCCTGACCGACCCCTCCTGTGTCCCTGTATGTACAGGTGATCGCCTACTCGGAGCGCAGGTACCAGATTTTCGGTGAGACAATCGACATGGCCATCGGCAACTGCTTCGACCGGCTGGCCAGGCTGTTGAAACTCTCCAACGATCCCAGTCCCGGCTACAACATCGAACAAATGGCCAAACGGTGCGTTACTCGTGAACTTTTGAAGAGCCATGGGAGTTTCGAGCGAATTACCGCGCGAGCGTCTGTAAGCACGCCGCTGTTTTGCACTGTTACGTGTGAAAGCAGGTATCTGGCATTTTATTTTCTTAAGTGTAGGTTTTCTGCGACAAAGTGTATCCCAATGCTTGTTTTTCGGGCTCAACGATGTTTTTATTTTTCGTTCTACCTTCATGCTCAATCGTTCGTCAATCAATATTTCCTTGTCTTTGAGATTTATGTCCTTTGAAACTTGAAAGACATATTTCTTCTGAATTAGTTCCCTGCTCTATTTACTCTGACCACCACATCTTGCTCCCCAGGGGTCAGCGCCTAGTGCGGTTTCCGTACGTTGTTAAGGGCATGGACGTGTCGTTCAGTGGGATGTTGTCGTTTATCGAGGAGCGGTTAGACAAGTGGCTGGCCGGCGAGTACACCCCAGAGGACATCTGCTTCTCGCTGCAGGAGACCGCCTTCGCCATGCTGGTGGAGACCACAGGTGGGTCTAACCTGCCGTGTTTGTCGCCATGATTGGATCTGGGCTCTTGGTCCGTTCAAGATCCGTAATTTATCATGTAAATTACTGAAAGCATGGTTGGCGAATCGTTGAAGGCTTTCTATCTGGTCCAAAATCGCTGACTAAAAAATAGAAATATGTAGAATAATTTTAGAGTGAGTGGTCCCGGTGCCCTTCGTTTGTTACCCATCGATCTGATCTGACTCCCCATGTTCGGCAGAGCGTGCCATGGCGCACACGGGCAGCCAGGAGGCGCTGATCTCTGACCGCTACTTCTGTTCTACAGAGCGTGCCATGGCGCACATGGGTAGCCAGGAGGCGCTGATCTCTGACCGCTACTTGATACTTCTGTTTGGCAGAGCGTGCCATGGCGCACACGGGCAGCCAGGAGGTGCTGATCTGTGGCGGCGTCGGCTGCAACCTGCGTCTCCAGGAGATGATGCGGATTATGTGTGAGGAGCGCGGCGCCAAGGTGTTCGCCACTGACGAACGGTGAGGGCTCGAGAGGACGAACGGTGAGGGTTTGCCGCGGACGAATGGTTCGTGCCCTCTGATAACAATGCCCACTCGGGGGGAAACAAGCTTGAAGAGTGTATGGTTACCGGCTGGAGCGTGGTTAAAGTGGACACAGCGAGAGAAGAGATCGTTCGCTGGAAAATTGTTGGCTTTCTTACCGATTCTGAAATAAGCCATGACTAGATTGGTCACGAATGTAGACTTTACTTCACACACTGATGGTATCGCGTTACCTTAGACAGTCTGTCGCCCACTAGCGCCCTCTGGTCACTAAACCACCGCCAACAGAATACCCCCACGACGAGTTCCGACACCTGTCCCGTTTTCACCAGGTTCTGTATCGACAACGGTGCCATGATCGCTCAGGCCGGCTACGTCATGTTCAAGTCCGGCGTCACCACTCCTCTGGAGGACACCTTCTGTACTCAGAGGTGAGAGCTCGGGCGTTTCGGACGGGAAGTGGAGATCTTTGAGATGAAAATGTGGGTGAGATAACACAGGAATTATTCACTCGTTATGTGGCCCGTAAGCTGATTGATGGCAGCCTCGCGAATTCCCTACGATCTTATTCATTTGTTTTGATTCGTTCACGTTTCCTGTCGTTTTCTTTGATTGAGGAATTTGCTACGGTATTCGGTATGAAGAGGTCCATGGAAACAATGACCAGCATTTTGAAACGTTTAAGTGTAACTATGCAACTTCAATTCTACTCTGCCGGAGTAATAGCTTAGGACGTTGGACTCGACACAGCCAAACCCTGATTCAGGGCTTACAGCCCCTCCTCGACTGGTGAATTGTCTGACTCTAGTTAACCTCGTCGCCCCTCCCCACACCCCTCTCGCCGCCAGGTATCGAACAGACGCCGTCGAGGTGACATGGAGAGACCCGTAGTCACGCTGTTCAGTGTTCTGCTGACAGCAGCCTCATCAGACCATCGTACGACCCGGCCTGAAACTGCCCAGTCGGGTCACCTGTTATCACACCGCAATACACATGTGAGTCATACGGTGGTGTTTGTGTTCGAAGTTGTGGCATCGCCTAGGTCTGGCGACGTTATTGAGGTTATAGAGATAGAGTTATAGAAATTGGGCGACTGACATTGCTCTCAACAAGAACAAAACAAACAAACGTGATATTGTTGGCTAAACAGATGGGTGCCCCAGATGCCCAGGTCATCACCATCTAATTTATAATGAAACCATGGCAATTGCATCCAAACAGAGTCTTTGGATAACTTTTTCCATTAACTCATCGGTCACTTACGTATACGTTATATTCATACACGTCGTCAGATAAAACACATGCACGCATTACGCGGGCACTGAATAGCCACGTTTACACGTCATTGGCACTGTGTTATGGCCGAATTCTCTCGGCCGGAACGGAGTTAGCTGGCGGCCTTTCATCCCTCCCCCTGCCCACCCCATCCAGCCCAGACCCTAACACATGTTCTTCGGACCGGTCGTCGCCCGATCTCATCCCTCATGACACATAAGCACCTGTGTCACGGTTTCAGGTTGTCCGATTCTATCCCCCTCACATGACACATAAACCACTTGTGTCACAGCTTGGCCTCTGTACAGTCAGTTTGTCCGTGACCTCCAATATGACACAATATGACACTCCGGCTGCGGTTTAGCCGGTGTCACGGTCAGTTTGTACTGCTCCCGGTTCGCGCGAGCATCACAGTTCCCAGCCTTAACACCACTTCTCACCATTCTTCGGCGACATCTTACAGCGTTCGCTGCTCCGCACGACTGTCGTTTGTCCTTCGTCTGCCACCTATTCACAGGCGCCAGGTTGTCAATCTTGCGGCACGACATTCACATTTGACCTGGCACGGTGACGCGGCGCATATAACACGATCAGACTCGGCTTTTCAGGAGATGGGAATGTCCTCATCAACTCTGTGCTCCTTCATTGCACGCTGCGATCTCCGCGCCATGTCACTTTGCGAGGACTTTGAGTTCCGCTGCCTTTACGGATTGATTCCCGCGTCTGGCAGGGTCTACATTCCGCACCAGATCGATCATCGAGCCCTCTTTCCGATCTCCATCACAAAACGACACTGGGCTGCTGTCCGTACTCCGGTCGACCCAGGTCCGCCGGTTTCATTTCGGCGCGCCAGCGGTGTGGCGGCTACTTGAGCACGTTCCCCGGGTCGTCGCCGTACGCCATGAGCGCCTCGTCCAGCTCTGCGTCCGGTATCTCCTCGTTATCGTCCTCGGAGCACCGGAGACACCTGCGGGGACGCGGGGAGGGGTCACGCGACGGTGTCTGAGCACGGGGGCCAGTCAGGGGAGAGGACAGAAGGACACAGCTTTCAGTGCCATGGTTTATGGCGCAATGGTTGTAAGTTCAAACGGACGTCTTATTTTGCGCTGAAGCTGTAAAACTCCGTGGCAAAATGCTTTTCAACTTACGAGAAAAAGGGGGTTTATTATGCATTACGCTTAGAAATTGTGGCCATTGGAGGCTGCAGCTTCTTGCAACCACGTGAGGTCTGCCCGTTTGGTGCTGAATGATTGCCTTCGTGGCCGGTTATTATCGTATTACTAAGTTCCTTAGTTAAAGTTCATTAGATAAGAGCATGAAGAGCAAAGCGACCTTTCCCACATACCTTCATGTAAGCGCCCACGAGTCCATGGTTACCGTCCCCTGGAAGCCAGCTGCAAGTCGCGGTCATGCGGAAGTGTCCCCGCCGTCCATCACAATAGCAGCATCCTGGGCACCTGTGCCGTCTGTGCAGCATTAGCCATTACAAGCCTGACCCCGCCAGCTGTTTGGTACTCGGATCCCGAGAAACCCACCACCACCTGTGGGCCCTTAGTGCGGTGGTAGGCTTTATATGCAGATAAACTCATGATACAGGTCACGATTGAATGCATTTACAACATTGGTCGATCATCCTTGCACTTACTATGCGCCATGCATGCAGTTAAAAATTCAGGTATGTGAATTCAGTCCGTTCCAGTGGCATAAATTGCAGCCTACATCATCTGCTTTCTACATTCGCTGGAACAAGCAAAAGCATGATACATCCGTAATTGCTTCCTGAGATGAATTTTTCGGCAGCAGGATGCCGTCTTCCGTATATACCTAGGCCTAAATGCAAAGCTTGAGTACAGTCGAAGAACAGTCAACAAATATTTTACACAAATATCGCACAATGTACATCGCAAAAGTCACAATGCACATCGATTGTCGCTTGCTGATAACTTGCCATTTTTATGCGTCATTCTGTCACCAATTAGGACAATAAATATACTGGATTACAGTCAAGTTTGGTTTCTCCTTAAAACGAACAGGAGCGTCATCAAAGTCAGAATAAATCGTAATAAAAACAGAGCAGAATGAAACTAGATGTGGCCCGCACGTCTGAGCCAGACATCCAACACGACCGCACTCAGCTTGCTTCGAATTCACTGCCGGTGTTTTTATCTCAACCACAAACGTTCTCCTGAGATCACTCTTTGGCCTCGGCTTCCTAACAGACCTGGTACCGAATCTCAGCCACCGGTCACATATCAGTGTTCCTTCAGCCGTGCAGGCGCCATCGGCGGCGGTGCGTCTCCATCCCTGAGCCGAGTTCCTGAATTCGCTGAATTTCCTGCACATTTGTCCGTCCCTGAGCGATCCGCGCACCGGGCCGATCCGAGCTGAGCCGTTCGGCTGTCGGCGCCTGCGCAGTGCGTCTGTCCGTCTCACACCTCTGTCATCTCGGCCATCAGCACCTGGTCCAGCTGGTCGTCGCTGAGCTCACCCTCGTCATGCAGCATGTCCTCGATCCCGTCGCTGCAGCCGAGACACCTGCAGAGGAGCGGAGGGAGCGGAACAGGGGTGTGGGTAACCCCGACAATAGCGAAAACGGGCACCGAGGGTCCGCAACCGCACCAGCAGATCGCATGCGTGTTTGACAAAGCGGTTCAAGTTAGCTGAAGCACATTAGTGTTTGCGTGAGAAGGGAGCATTTATTTGCATCCGGCGCGTTCCCAATTTCCGAATGAAGCGGGAAACCTTTTGATAGTTACATGTGATATGTGATTTTGATAGTGTATGTGAGAAGAAGGTCACGTTAGTGATTCAGTGACAACCGGAGGCGGTTTGTCATGACTGCAAACCCAATTCCCTTTGCGCTCATGTGTAGTGTTGTTCACGTGGCCCGGTATAGCTACCGCACAGCGCGCTAATTCGTTATTTATCCATCACCTTCCATCTCTCTCTCTCTCGGTCATCGTACAATCCAGCTCAGTGTCTGACATTTGCACCGCCCTCCACTCCACCCCTCCGCTCGGCACATACCTGCTCTCGTTGATACCGAAGTTGATGCACGTGCTGCCGATGCACTCGCAGCAGCCGTTGTGGAACCAGCGCACGCTTCTGGCGCCCATGGTCTGGCACGAGAAGGAGCACTTGGCCCAGGAGCGGCACTGCGTCAGGTAGGCCACCGTGCAGTTGACGGTCACCTGCTGCGGCTCCGTGCCGCCCTCTGGCGCGCTCTCGTCCACTGACACTGGTAAAGAGAGGGAGAGGTGTGGGTGTAGACGGTGATGGTGAGCCCTAATAGGAAAATAATAAATCCACAGCACTGATCACTAACGAGGTCTTACGAGTTATATATGTAAAACAGTACCGCCCCGAGGCTCACCTATTCGGATTTGGTACTTGTGTCCAAAGTCGACGATCTGGTGGTCCACGGGAAACGTATAGCTGATCCAGCGCTGCTTGGGGTCGTGCTTGTTGGTCAGGGTGCTGAAGAGGCCGATCTCGGGGTCGTGGAACTCCTCCACCTCAGAGTGCATGGCCAGATCGGACCAGCTGCGCTCCGGCTTCGGGCACATCTCTGCAGTGTAGGGAGGGCAGGTGAATGATTAGTGAGCGAACAGCGCGGCGTGAGATCGAATCTCGGTGGCGCCGTACCTCTGTTTACACGGGGTGATAATCAAATGACAAAATTCGTGCGACTTATCCGTTTTTGACTCCTTTGATACGCGGCCAAACATGACTCAAGTGCATTTTGTATATAGTTATTTAAAAAAAAAACATTGATGGGTTCATTAGGACACTGAAATGGCGATAAGTAGGTACGAGTAAGAGACCTCTTATCCCGCCGAGTGAATCAAAGCACAGAGGGCTATACATACAGCTAACCACCAAGGGTTGGCCGTCACAGCCCTATCTCTCTGAATCGTGGACAGCCTGGCGTGCTCAAGGTGTGCCGAGAGCCTGCGGAGCCGGCGCGGCCGATAGGGACCGCGTGCCGGGGAGCTGGCACAGCCCGGCGCCGGCCGTTTTTGCCGTGGCGCCGCAGACAGTACGGCGAACGGAAACCGGTTTGCGACGAACCAGTCGGCCTGCCTTCTCCCGGCCGGAATGTATAATCGCGTCTGGTCCCGAGAAGCCCATGGCCCGTCACGGAAGGCGGTGCTATACGCTCACTACAAAGGGGCAGGTAAACGGGGAACCTGTACGTCCCAAAAATAAGTGGCTGTCTTTTTAGAACATCAATCGCGTGCATACAACTATTCGGCGAGGCTGATTGATCTGTCTGTATCTATATTCTATAGTCATGTGTGCGATGCGTTTACTGTAGGTATGTATGTACTGCGGGAGAATTTCGCCTGGACAGATTGTCATGCCCGGTTTCTCGGAGCAAGTCTCAGCTCAGCTGGACTAAACTTGACGGGCCGTTTTGTCGAGACAATCGTCTTACACCAGATTCAGTAGGTGTCGTAACGACAGGACTACATACCCAGCTAACACCTTCGGTAGCGAAATAATTCAGGAGAAGGGTGACACAGGCCTGAGACTACGACCTTCCATCGCCCTGACCCCTCGAAAGGGCACTCACTGAAGCAATAGCAGCACTCCTCATACAAGTTGTCGAGGCACTCGGAGCACTCCTTGCAGCACGTGCAGTTGGACAGGTCGGTCATGTCGCACTTGCAGCTGCCGGTCAGCATGCACTTGGAGACGATACTGGCGCAGACGGCCTCGTTGCAGGCCAGTCCTGGTGTGGTCCACCACAGCGCGAGCAGGAGACACACGGCCGCCGACACAGTCCGCAGCGGCTCCTGAAAGGAGGGAGGGGAGGGTCAGCAGCTCCTATCGGGAGGAAAGGGAGCGTCAGCGGTTCCTGTGGGAGGGAGAGGAGGGGAGGGTCAGCGGACAGCGGTTCCACAGGAGGGAGAAGGTCAGAGACTCCTGATGGAGGGAGCGGGGGGGGGGGGCAGCGTCCAACGGCTACTACGGGGAGGAAGAGGAGAGGGAAGGGTCAGCACCTCCTGTAGAGACGGGGTTAGCGTAATATGCGGGAGGGGAGAGATTAGTGTCTCCCGAAGGATATGAAGCGAAGAGAACATCTCTAGGAGAAGTTCACAATTTAACGACCGACTTTGTGCATCCGATACTTTATCCTCCATACCACCTGAAGCGCCCACGGCAACCGCGCTGGCTGCGGTTTTGAAAGACCTTGGATCGCTGCCATTCTGATGTATCCCCATGTGCACCTGCACGGGGAGTGCTGCCCTCCCCCCCCCCCGCCCTTCCACAGCTGCAGAAGATGGGGTTTTCTCTGTGATCGCCGTGATGTGGCGCTGGCTGGAGCCGTGGCGCTGCGACTCTCCGCTCTACGTGACTTTCAGCTTAGCTCCTCAATCATTGGCGGCGACGCACGGAAATTGTTGCAATCACTGCTACACAAGAAGCATAATTTTGTCGGACACGATTGGGAACTTCCACTAATAGGTACTCGTTTTATTGTGTTGCATTTACATTTAACCCCTCATGAGGCCCGGACCTGTCCGCTTTTTACATATAACCCTCGCCCTTTCGACCCTAATTGAGCTGGCGATTCGCAAAAAAAAAACATGCGCATTGCGCACCATTACAAGGCACTAGACGCAACGTCTGGCCTACGGCTCGGTGTTTAGTTGTTTTTTATTTGTTCTAGTCACGAATGGCTGAAGGTGTATTAAATCGCACCACACTGGTGGTCCAATCGTAGCGTATCGAGGCGAGAAAGAAGTTGTATGGCCTTATCTAACTGTTGGGCCACTTCGCGACATGCTTGAAGGACGTTCGAAAGGTCGTCAAAAATCACGAGTAACGTATTCCGGTCATTTTTAGGTCAGGTAAATGGTCATTGGTCAGATCACCAGTCACTAGAGAATCATCAAGGGACAAATTCTCTCGATTTCGTTAATTGGCAAATTTGTTAATAGCTCGGAAAGTAAAAGCTAGGTACAACATAGCGGAAAAAAAGCATTGGGTAGATCTTTTAAAGCTCCTTCACGAGCACGCCCTCAGCGCGTTGACCTAAGATCAACGACGCATGGTGACAGTTCTACAGTCAGTTCAAGTTGTAGTTCCCTAACCACCGTGTGTTTGCGTTAGCAATGACTTCCAGTTAGTGTGCAGTAGCAGATCCTATTCCCGCTTCACACTTTATGATTTAAATTCCATGTTTCGCCAGCACTACACGGGTACGATAAGTAGCGTAGCCAGTACCTACTGAATGATTAATGACAATGTAAGTGTGAAGATGACATGCCGTGTGGCCATCGGAGAATGCCAAGAATACCTATAGTGTGTAAACACGACCAGATTCACCTTCAGCCTGTGGAAAGTAGGCAGGTAATCTACGTTCTTTAGTGCACTGTGCCCGTCGCTGCAAGCTTTATGCCCGTATGACTGATAAATGTAATGTAATAAAAGACATGCCGTGAGCCGCTTTCAGTGTCGCTTTCTTTGTAGTTGCATGCTTTTGGCGGGCACCAGCAGTGAAGCATTTTAGCAGGGAGTGGACCGACCTTGGTATTTGTGTTGTTATTTTATGGAAATCGCTATGCAAAGTATACCTAAACAAGCATGCCATTTCAACGTCATATTATCAAGACATTGCGATTCTTCTGAAAGTGCACTTGCTAGATACTCACTTCTCAATGGTTCATTTTAATTGTTTACTTCGATGCTTTAATTTCAAAGCACGCTGCACGAGCTTCACGATGCTTTTGTCTCAGAATGCAGTGTCTCAGTACCATTCAGTTGCCGACCCTCGCGTTCAGTGCTACTGGCCTGTGTGTCGATGCAGTCTCCACGGATGGTTCTACTAAAAAGTCTGAAAGTTTGACGAGACACGCATGTCCAGTACATGCTTTAACACCGTTTAAACGAATAAGTAACATTTCCGCAGCGCACGATAAACGTTACGCAGAATGGGTCTCTTTGGTGCCCCCAAAACCTACCCACAACCATTTGGACAGGTGGTTGAGCCCCTACCTTAAATAAAAGAAAATAATTGTCATCCTTAGACGAATCATGATTTAAATCCTGGTCAAAAGGATTTTACATTTATCTGTGTAAGACGGTGTGGCATGTTACCATAAGCTTTACTAATTCCTGTAGGAATAGGGAAACGAGTACAAATATGATCTTATATTAGAATTTGGTAAAATGCTCAAACGTTCCAGCGCTATCCGTTCCAATTTATTAGAGTAAGTAGTAAATTGTTAATTGAGTGACTACTTTTTTCGCGGCAATTAATGCGACATGGTGGCCGCTTGAGGAAAATTATCCATTGCACATGTGTTTTTATTTGAGTCCTGCCTGACCGGCACAAAAACACCTACATCCGCGATCATCTTTACCTAGGCAAGGTATGATGTAGCAAGGTTTAATGTACGATACTTATTTTAGCTATCCTTCTCAGACCGCCAAGCTGGGCAGTTAAGCACGAGAAAGTTAAATAATACAGGTATATAGGACAGGTAACAGTTAAACTGGGTATTATAGGTAGGTTGGATGAAGGTGTCCGGGAACGCTATCAACGCGTATGAATTGTCATGCCTACATTATTTTTATCATATGCATGCGTATAAGGATACATTGGTATACATTACATAGGTGTATGTAGTATCGATCGGAAAAAGTGCTTAACGCTGCTTTCCTGATGATGATTCAATTTCAACTTATCTGGAAGAGGCAAAACGATGATGCTTGATGATTTGTCCCATCTCTCATTCAAGTTTCTCGACGAATCCCGGAATGTTTCAATGCCCTTTAAGGGCTCTAAATGCCAAACGTGTGCTTTGTTTATTTCTTCCATGAGGTTTACCGGTGTCAAGCACTACCGATACTGAGTCCGTGTTAGTGCAGTGCTCGCGCAGACCACCCAGGGATTCCTGGGCCCCAGCGCGGGGTCCGCTCGGACCGGGCGGCGGGGACCACCGCGCCGGGCGGCCCCTGTCACCTGTCCGCCGCCGCCTCCCACCAAACGGCCGGACCGGCGCGGCCGCAAAAACCCGCGCTGATGCCTTCCGCGACACTCCCGGCCCCGCCCATCACACCTGTCACCTACCATGATGGTGCAGTGACGCTGCGTGCAGCTGGAACTCAGCACACACTCGCACTCACTCGCTGGCTCGCGCGCGCGCGGGATCGGCTGCCCGGTGCTGTCCGGATGCGCTCACAGTGTGCACTGACGGGCGCGCGATCAGCCGCTGTCCCCGCGCGAGCGGCCGGCCCCGGATTCAGACAACTATCGGCCCGGCCGCGGCCAGCGCGTCTCGACCCCATCGGCGCTCGTCGCTCGGTATGTGCGCCCGAAGCAGAGGATGGTTATCTGATGTTTTTTTTTTCTAACGTAGGTTTGATGCATCGTATGTTTCTCTGTGTATTTCTTGCGCTGCTCCTACGTCAGGAAAGCGGATTTCGCTGTTTTATTTTTTATGATTTAGGTATATTTTACTTTTTGTTGTTTATGCCGCTACGATGCAAATAGGTTTTTATTTTCTTCATATTCACTATTTTAAACGGACCACCACGCGTGCTCAACTTCAGATCGTAACGTCTAAACTGGGCTTGACCAATCGACGATTCGCAACATGCTTAACGGTTGACAGACATCGACATACATACCAAGGTTAGAGCAGGTAAAATATCGACCGGCATGGTAAGCCAAAGGTGCAAAAACACGTCGGCGAAGATCAAGGAATGGATAGTGTCTCCCGGCTTTTTGCAGTGCCGAAACTTCTTGGGAGAAGCATCGCTGAATTATTGCTGCGCGGCTCAGTAGATGAACTGCCATTTGGAAGTCAGCCAGATGATGCTTATGTGAGTTATACCTACACACCCATCAAAGGATGGAAACAACACGCAAGGAGTCTTTCACACGAGTTCTGTACAGTTTTTCCTTTATGGATGAACCAGCCTATTTTAATAAAAACCGCAAGCCACAAATAAAAAGCACAACTTTGAACTCTACCGCAAATGAGCAGGAAATTCGAGCAAACTTGGTGTTGCAACAACCTCTTTCCTTCAGTGATAGTCTTTCAGTGAGGCCCATAGACTTGTTCTTGTTCAAGCAGGAAAATGGTGACACTCATAAGTTACAACTCTTTGATATTTATTAGAGCCTGTTACAGCCAGTATATGATGGGTTTTATATGATGGCATTTACGTGTGGCAAGCAATGGATTTCCAGCAATGTTCGTGTGGCAAGCAATGGATCGCTGCGTTCCAGTGCCATTCAAATACCAACTCCCACATCCAGTGTTACTGGCTTGTGTGTAAATGCAGTCTCCACGGGATAGTTTCCTGCCGCCCGTGGCAGTCTCTAGGGCTATTGGTCAGTGATGGCTTCCTGTGCTCCTATGAAGTCTGCTATGCTCCACTGTCGTGTTATGCCAGTATGCTTATGGTCCAATAGTCAATGGTGCTGGAGGACGTATGTTCAGCATCTGCCGCCGCTATCTCCAGATTCGTTGGTGATAGTGCGTTGTTCGAGAATGAAGTCTCCGTTCGAATAGGTTACCGTTCTAGGTGCTGTTGCAGTCTCCGCCAATGCGCCGCGAGTTTCTTCCAATGATGGATGTAGTGTCTGGAAATAGCAATTGAGAGTCGATTAGACTTCTACGGCGTGCAGTTTGTATGGCACGAAGAAAATCCACCTTAGACTCAATCTCAGATATTTTAAGCTTGGATCTTATATGATAATTTTAGGTACCTATGCTCCACATAAATTGAGCGATGGGTAGGCGCACGTTTGAAAATTGCGGCCGATGATAACCTGGCCGGATAAGGCACCTCTCCCGTTACTCCCTTAAATATGGTTATAATATGACATATGGTTATATAGTAGATATGTAAGAGTGTTCACGCATAAATTTTCACACTAGTGAAGCTGTAGCGCTGTTTTGTTATGCAAAGACCGATGATGGCTGACGCTAAATGTCACCAGTTCCGGCTCGGTCCCCGATATATGGCTAGTATTTGTTACTCAGCTTTCACAGCGTCAGCTCTCACATCCTCTTCCATTTCACTCTCACTGCCTGGTGAGTATCTTATCCAACAACAACAACAAAAAAAACATCTCGAGACCAGGATATGGAGTTCCTGGCAGCCTCCGCACGTGTGACCGGTGGCACGTGCGCCACACGTGGCGCGTGATTCATTTGGTGTGGTTATACTGCTGTGGCCGGATAGTTGTAACCGCAGGTTGTTTGAAAAGACAAACACTATTCGTTAGAATGTGTTTTTTATATGAAAAACAACCGGAGCG